AGAGGCGGGGAGCCACGCGGCGCATAAACGTCTTACCAAGCGCAGGCAGCGGCTGCCTAGAAGCTGCGATCTCCACGAAACCATGTTAGAAGAATTCAGTCTATATTCAGCCATTTATATTTCGACTTGCATGACTTTTGGGAGATTTCTTTTTTTTATTTACTTAACGTCAAAAACAGTTGAAACAATGTGTGGTGTACTTTGAGGGAAAGTGCAATTAGTTCACTTTTGAAACGCCGTACTCTTTGAAGCCGTACTGACTGATGTTCCGGAACCTGTCATCGGATCTCCGTATTGCTTTGAGATATAATGGCGACGGCGTTGACAATGTTGAAGATGACGATGTTGTGGTTGTTTTTGTTGTTGATGTTGATGATGATAAAAAATGACAGGGAAAGTAATCAGTATGAAGTTGGAGGAATGAGATGTAGGGAACACAAGAGAGCAACCCCTAGGCCCAACCCGCATATTTCACCTGGAAGGACAATGGAAAATTTGTCAGTTCAGTCACCCAAACTGTTTGTTAATACACTCTTAGTGTATGACAAGAAATCTGTCGCTTTGAAAGTTTCCATCTTTTACATCTTCCATACGTAAAGTTCATAACATTTTGGTATTGTACTCAAGATACATAATACTACCACATAAATTTACAAACTGATGTGGGTTTTATCTTCTTCATAATAAATTAGCGTGACATCGTAATCGCTTCATATTGGTGAGATAAAGATACTGTACTGATAAACAGAATTTAGGCCTAGTCGCCGCACTCGTGTACTTAACATTTTTGAAACGCCGTCAAAATATATATACGTGTAAGTTAATGTTGCTCCTTTGCTTCTAACAGGGGACAAAATGATTATTTTTCACGAAGCACCTTTCAAGTTCCAAATGCACGTACAAATGTTGCAGCACTGATATGCAGTGGGACAACATTGATACAACTGTTCTCTCGCGCTACATTTGTAACGGTCGTGTGTGCCTGTTTCTCATTAATAATAATTAATGTCTGTCAAATTTTGAATTGTACCATTATGGAAGTTGTAACGATACATAGAAAGCAGTATATAATAAAATAAATATTTACGTTTATTTGAAAGTTATTTAAGCTAAACTACGCCTATTTCAAATTTGTACGTATCACTATTCTTAAAACGTTTATCTATCATGGTACCAACTATTTGTTCAAAAACGGCGCTTCTCCTAAATTAAATTATACCCGAAAACCGTTGAATCCTATCGTGAACATGTATACCGGAAAGTAAAGACTTGTAGGCTAATTGTCAATTAATTGTCCTCCTTAAAAATTGCATATCTTAGAAATACATCACTTCGAAAATACTATTTCTTTTTTTTTAATTATAGTTGAAAGACAGTGTAAACGTTTATGAGCTGCAATATTGGCACACCTTGAACAATGAGGTTTCTTGTTAAACGTATTTAAAGTTTTAAGTGGTGGTTGAATTACAAGTACCTCATGCTTAATAACTGGTACATTAAGTGATGCGCTGAATGCTCAATAAGAGGCGTAACAGACCCGTTGCGTCAATAACGACGCAACCAATGGGAGTAAGCATTACTAAAAGACTTCATTAATGACAATTATAAAATGTTTTAAAACGAATGCCGTAACTCCAAATCCCGCCTTTGTCGAGATGTGCCAGTGTCGCAACCCACGAGCGACACGACGACTGTGCGCTGACGGCGTGTGCCGTGCCTGTGCCTGTTGCAGAACGAGAAGGTGGAGGTGAAGCAGAAGTGGGCCTCGCGGCTGCTGGGCAAGCTGCGCAAGGACATCACGCAGGAGTGCCGCGAGGACTTCGTGCTCAGCATCACAGGCAAGAAGCCCGCCATGTGCGTGCTCTCCAACCCCGACCAGAAGGGCAAGATGCGGCGCATCGACTGCCTGCGCCAAGCCGACAAGGTGAGTCCCACCTGCCACTGTTTTGTATTTATTTTGTCAAACACAAAAGGTACAAACTGTTTGTGACGTAGCGGGGAGAACATCACGGCATTCCAAATCTCTTCTCGATACAGTCAATGTATTCTTGGCTATCCGGGATGAGCCCCGTCTCGGTCAATTGTACGGACGTTTCGGTCATCTTTGCTGTGGCCTCCTTCAGGGCTATACTGCTGCAGTATGTAGCCATTCTCTGGGTCATTTACATATGCCACTCCCGCCGGCCCGGCAGGTGCAATTGGGGCCCCTAGGGGTACTTGGGGTCCCTTGAGGCCCCCGGACATAAGTGGTCAGTGCAATCAAACAATTGTCTAACCGAACGCACTTTAAAGGTCCCTTCTGAAAGCGAATTGTTATAAATCAACTAGTGTAAAGTTAGAATTACATATTTTATTATGAGGTCGCAAAGATATTTTCCAAATTTGTAATTTGACTTTCCGGAGTCTTAAATGTTTATTGCTTCGTTTAAACTTTGGGGGCCCTGGGATTTAGTAGTGATTTGAAACAAAGCGAAAGTCCGCAGGGGCTCAACTCTGAATTTAATGATTAATAGTTTCTGTTAATTAGTTTTCAGCGCGTTTTCTTAGAAGGATTTTTTTTAAGCGGAACCCCAATTTTGTTTTTGAACGGAGGTAAAGTTGCGCCACAGCCAGTAGCCTCCAGCTTTTCAATTCGTAACAACTTCTGACGTAGCGTGTTGGCGTTGTATTCCGACGTAGCATCTTACTTAGAAGCAAAGCATTGTTCAAAATGTTTTAAATACTACATGAAACGGTAAATGGACACGTGATTGCCTATTAACGCTTTACGCTTTTCTAATTTCACGACGTCGATGTTCAAAAACGTAGTTTTAGACGCTGGGCATAGCTGTATTTACAGAATACACTCCATGAGCTTGCGAAGTTACTAATCCTCTCGCTTTTGTTTTATTATGGCTTATGACGTTAAGGAATTCCTCTGCTATGATTCAGAGCTGAGTTCTTTCTGGAAAAATTTCGCTTTTTTTCCTTTCGTTTTTCTTATCGCTTCGTTTCTTAACAGACATAATAATCGACGTGACAATGTTTGAGGAGTCGAAAATACAATTACACAAATATACTGTGTGGTTGATACCTCCTCGATCCTTAATTAATATCATTATAGATTACAACAATATCTTTGCTACTACCACGAAATTGATCTTAGTAGATATACTATGATAGCTTAATACAGTCTAATAGCGTATATTTCGTGGTCCGAGGGAAGCATCCTGGACGATGTTAAACGTATCTGACATTTTACAGAAAAACAAGTTACAATTAATTTATGTTTAAATGAAGTACCCAGTGACCTCGAGTGTAATGCCAACATTTATTTTTATGACGTGTTTAGGCAAGGAGCAATTCGGATGTCTGCGTGTGTGTTCCACATTTACGCCCGATCGTAAATTTCGGTAGTATCCGTGTTTAATTTCTTTCTAAAATTTCCGTATCTAATGAATACTGCTGATCGTTAGTTTCTACAAATGAGGACTACAGTCGTTTTGTTCGTCCTTTGAAGTGTTATAGTAATGATTAACAATCACACCTCTATTTCTTTTATTTTTTTTATTCCCAATTATTATAAATTCGTATATTATTCTAGAACTTTTCTCTGTCATCTATGCATTTCAATGTCATATCAAATGAAGGAAATAGCTTTCCCATTCAGTTGTTCCGGATGTTTTGTAAAGCCATTCGTCGACTTTGAGCTAGAGCCAAAAAGCAGCGTGTGAAACAATGACCTTGATACGATTCGTAAACCAAATCTTGGACTTCTCTAAAGGTCGCACGCTCTATTGGCTGTGGCTCATTTCAGCAAATTAGACCAGCGTGGACTGGATTTTCCCTTCAGGGCTTCTGTGCCAACGTTCTTCCTCACTTCAAGGCATCAAACATTAATCTTGCCATTTTCACCATAGAAAAGATTTCACATAGTTTTTATCAAAACCTTCAAAACGGGCTCTTGAAAATACATGTTGCTCAAACTCTGACGCTACTTTGAAATTTTTTGTGTACATTCTTAAGTTTTTGTCGAACAAAACAGGAAAATTCGTTTCTAACTTAATATTTCACTTCGGTTCGAATTAGTGTTACTAAATGATATTGCACATAACATTGAAGGTTCAATATAAATTGTATAAACGGACCATTCACGGACCATTTAAATTAAACAATCAAGCAATGTGAGGGAAATAAACTCAGACATCTTGTAAACAATAAAGCTACTAGTCGGCCCGGATGGCCGGGATCGTTAAGGACCTAGCGACCTCGGACCGGAGGATCGAGGTTTCGATTCCCGCCTCGGGCATGGTTGCATTTGTGTTCGTCCTTTCACCCTCTTCATCACCATATCATGTCATCTTCACAGTTACCGTACCGTTCAATGCAATAGTGGACGCTAATGACCTAGACGTTAATGCGAACGTCAAAAAAGAGTGACTCTTACAAATCAGTGGCATTCCAAACCACGGTCCTTCGAGTGGAGGCAGCTATGGCATTCCCGCCTTCAAGAGCTAGACTAGATGAGACGGCAATACGAGCGTATCCGTGCAGGATAACTCTGGACACATGGAAAAGTCGACTCCCCCCCCCCAACAGACATAAGTTTTATATCAGTTAATCCCATCTTCTGGTGTCTCTTAACAACCCTTACGTCATAAGAGTGAAATACCCCAAAATGAAATAGATGGTTTCAAAACTTCTCATTCTGTAGAGTACGGCGTGGAGAATATAACTCAAGGCTTTGGTTTCAAAAAACAGAGTGAGAGAGAGCGATATATATTATTATATATATATATATATATATATAATATAATATATATATACTATATATAGAGAGAGAGAGAGAGAGAGAGAGAGGGGGGGAGGGAGGGAGGGAAGAGAGATTCTAGGATATTACGGTTTTGAGTTATAACTCCATCGACTGAGATCAGGAAACTGAAATATTAAACGGACAGCATGTTGCGTATGCTTGCCGACTTCGACACCTTAAAACAACAATTCCCTGTATATTTTTATAATGTAATGATTAACGATACTACAATGCATTTGTTAAAATTCGTGTTTTGGCATCCACTTTGGTTTAAGATTGGTGCATGTGAGAGCCGCACAGCTATATTCTACATAAATATTTATTATTTATTATGTATTATTATTATTTATTATTATTATTATTATTATTATTTTATATTATTATTGTTTGTTTGTTGTTGTTGTTGTTTGTTGTTTGTTATTATTTTATTACTATTATCTTTCGATATCGGAGCGATTCTAGAACCTCACCAGATTCAGATTCTCTTTCATACTGGATCAAATTTAGGATTCGCTCTTACTTGTACTCTCCATCGATTCACACTACGATTTGCCAAGTGTGTTAGATCGCTCTTACGACGCGTCGAAATCATGCAAGGCGGACGGCGAGTGGCACGCGAGATATAGAGATGCTGTGTGTGATGTACGCAGGAGTAGATACGCGCGGGGACGAGCGGTTTGGAAGAGATGAATAGGCAATGAGTGACACATAATTTATTGTATGCGGAGGGCGGTTCATGGGGTTGTAAGCAATACTATATGGCGGAATAAAATCGCGATATCATACTCGCCTCCTTCGGATGCCGCATCATGTTATACGGCGGAATCGGCTCGGAGAGGCGGAGTTGGTTGAGGATCGTAGAGAGGTAGTCTTCATGACTGTTATGTCGGGCGCGTGGCTACGATGGGCAGCGAATCAGCGGTGTAAGCTCTGAAGTTTTTGGTTGGGAGCTGACTGGGAGGATAGCGGAGTGCATTGCGTGGCGATCCGAGATGAACATGGCAAACGTAGTGTGAATGATGGAGAGTAAGTAAGACGAATCCTAAATTTGATCAGTATGATGAGATCTGAATCTGGTGAGGTTTCTAGATCGTCCGATCATCCGAATAGTAATAAATAGTAATATAATAATACAAACAACAACAAACAAAACAACACAATAATAATAATAATAATAATAATAATAATAATAAAATAATATATATAATATAATAATAATAATATTTTAGTAGAATATAGCTTTGCGCTCTACATGCACCATCTTAACAAATGTTATGCCAAAACACAGAATTTTAACAATGCATTTGTAAGTATCGTTAAATCTTTACATTATAAAAATATAAGGAATTTGTTGTTTTTTTAAGGTGTCCGAAGTCGGGCCATATGCATACGCAACATGCTGGTCCTTTAATTATCAGTTTCCTGGACTCATCGATGGAGTATAACTCAATACCGGTATATTAGAATCTCTCTCCCCTCCTCCCCCCTCTTCTCTCTCTCTCTCCGTTCAATGAATCTCGCTATCTAATAACG